CGCATGGTAAACGAATGGAGGCCGCATGGCAAACGAATGGCAGCCGCATGGCAAACGAATGGAAGCCGCATGGCAAACGAATGGCAGCCGCATCGCAAACGAATGGCAGCCGAATGGAAGCCGCATGGCAGCCGCATGGCAAACGAATGGCAGCCGCATGGCAAACGAATGTCAGCCGCATGGCAGCCGAATGTCAGCCGCATGGCAAACGAATGTCAGCCGAATGTCAGCCGCATGGCAGCCGAATGTCAGCCGCATGGCAGCCACATGGCAAACGAATGGCAAAGGAATGGCAGCCGCATGGCAAACGAATGGAAGCCGCATGGCAAACGAATGGCAGCCGCATGGCAAACGAATGGCAGCCGCATGGCAAACGAATGGCAGCCGCAAGGCAAAGGAATGGCAGCCGAATGGCAAAGGAATGGCAGCCGCATGGCAGACGAATGGCAGCCGCATGGCAGACGAATGGTAAACGAAAGGCAGCCGAATGGCAAACGAATGGAAGCCGCATGGTAAACAAATGGCAGCCGAATGGCAAACGAATGGCAGCCGAATGGCAAACGAATGGCAGCCGCATGGAAAACGAATGGAAGCCGCATGGCAAACGAAAGGCAGCCGCATGGCAAACGAAAGGCAGCCGCATGGCAAACGAAAGGCAGCCGCATGGCAAACGAAAGGCAGCCGCATGGCAAACGAAAGGCAGTCAATTTTACTCGGTCTAAGCTTTACTGGATTCTGCCTTTAATGCAGAGTTGTTTAGATCCACTACTCATACATGGCAAATGAATGGCAGCCGAATGTCAGCCGAATGTCAGCCGCATGGCAGCCACATGGCAAACGAATGGCAAAGGAATGGCAAAGGAATGGCAGCCGCATGGCAGCCGCATGGCGTACGAATGGCAAAGGAATGGCAAAGGAATGGCAGCCGCATGGCAAACGAATGGAAGCCGCATGGCAAACGAATGGCAGCCGCATGGCAAACGAATGGCAGCCGCAAGGCAAAGGAATGTCAGCCGAATGTCAGCCGAATGGCAGCCGCATGGCAGCCGCATGGCAGACGAATGGCAAACGAAAGGCAGCCGCATGGTAAACGAAAGGCAGCCGCATGGTAAACGAATGGAGGCCGCATGGCAAACGAATGGCAGCCGCATGGCAAACGAATGGCAGCCGCATGGCAGCCGCATGGCAAACGAATGGAAGCCGCATGGCAAACGAATGGCAGCCGCATCGCAAACGAATGGCAGCCGAATGGAAGCCGCATGGCAGCCGCATGGCAAACGAATGGCAGCCGCATGGCAAACGAATGTCAGCCGCATGGCAAACGAATGTCAGCCGAATGTCAGCCGCATGGCAGCCGAATGTCAGCCGCATGGCAGCCACATGGCAAACGAATGGCAAAGGAATGGCAGCCGCATGGCAAACGAATGGCAGCCGCATGGCAAACGAATGGCAGCCGCATGGCAAACGAATGGCAGCCGCATGGCAAACGAATGGCAGCCGCATGGCAAAGGAATGGCAGCCGCATGGCAAAGGAATGGCAGCCGAATGGCAAAGGAATGGCAGCCGCATGGCAAAGGAATGGCAGCCGCATGGCAAACGAATGGCAGCCGCATGGCAAACGAATGGCAGCCGCATGGCAAAGGAATGGCAGCCGAATGGCAAAGGAATGGCAGCCGCATGGCAAAGGAATGGCAGCCGCATGGCAGACGAATGGCAGCCGCATGGCAGACGAATGGTAAACGAAAGGCAGCCGAATGGCAAACGAATGGAAGCCGCATGGCAAACGAATGTCAGCCGAATGTCAGCCGCATGGCAGCCGAATGTCAGCCGCATGGCAGCCACATGGCAAACGAATGGCAAAGGAATGGCAGCCGCATGGCAAACGAATGGAAGCCGCATGGCAAACGAATGGCAGCCGCATGGCAAACGAATGGCAGCCGCATGGCAAACGAATGGCAGCCGCAAGGCAAAGGAATGGCAGCCGAATGGCAAAGGAATGGCAGCCGCATGGCAGACGAATGGCAGCCGCATGGCAGACGAATGGTAAACGAAAGGCAGCCGAATGGCAAACGAATGGAAGCCGCATGGTAAACGAATGGCAGCCGAATGGCAAACGAATGGCAGCCGAATGGCAAACGAATGGAAGCCGCATGGCAAACGAAAGGCAGCCGCATGGCAAACGAAAGGCAGCCGCATGGCAAACGAAAGGCAGCCGCATGGCAAACGAAAGGCAGCCGCATGGCAAACGAAAGGCAGCCGCATGGCAAACGAATGGAAGCCGCATGGTAAACGAATGGCAGCCGCATGGTAAACGAAAGGCAGCCGCATGGCAAACGAAAGGCAGCCGCATGGTAAACGAATGGCAGCCGCATGGTAAACGAATGGCAGCCGCATGGTAAACGAATGGCAGCCGCATGGCAAATGAATGGCAGCCGCATGGCAAACGAATGGAAGCCGCATGGCAAACGAAAGGCAGCCGCATGGCAAATGAACGGCAGCCGCATGGCAAACGAACGGCAGCCGCATAGCAAACGAAAGGCAGCCGCATGGTAAACGAATGGAAGCCGCATGGTAAACGAATGGAAGCCGCATGGCAAACGAATGGCAGCCGCATGGCAAAGGAATGGCAAAGGAATGGCAGCCGCATGGCAGCCCACCTACCTGAAAACCAAGCAATATCCCCTCCAACTTCCAGCCACTGGAGTGACCCCCTCTTGCATATTTTTTTTTACTCTGACTCCACCCTTTCACTGAATTACAGGGTCCGACCAGGAGATGGCGCTTCTCTTAAGATGTTAATGTCCACAAATCAGGACAGAAATAATATTTTAGTACAAATATTGATGTTTAAAAGGGAATTGTAGGGGACCAGCCAAGGAAAGTTGGGAAATCAGAATGGCTTCTACTGTACAACTGACAGCATCTGTTTTTTTAAGAAAAGTTTCTGTGATATGGAACATGAAATGTACAAATATTTAACAAGTACAAAGTTAAATATTTACTGTTAAATTGTTCAGAAAGAATATTGGATGGTAGCCAGAATTGGATCACTGGGCCGAATGGTGACCAGCGAGTCGTTAAATGAATATTAACCTCTTTCTTTATTTAACAAAGCATAAACTACCAGCTTAAATTTATAATATTCTTTGATAAAAATACTAAAAATTTCAGAAAACTCAGTTTGGTAAGTTAGAAAGGGTGTTTAAAAATCAGAGGCAGCAGAAGAACAGAAAAAGTAAGAAGCATCTAGAAAGAAACTTAAACTCCTGTTTTTTTTTGTTTGTTTTTTTAACCATCTTTTATGGACAAAAAATAAACTTTTTTTTCTCTAATCAAATTGCTGAAAGAGCAAATTAACCCCAACTGCTGGTTGTCTTTTAGATCATTTAAATTACACACATATACTCATATACAACAACCCCAAAAAAAACAAAAGACATAAATCCACCCCCTCAAAAACTGAGAATAAGCATTTCATTATTTTTCATGACATAAAACACCTCCTCCATTTTTCCCATGTTAAACTGAAATAAAATTTAAAAATCAGTTAACTTTTTTCTTTTTTTCAGTGGCCCTAATCCTCTTCCTTTATAGGTAGAGAGATAGGCTTTATGGGCAGCTGCCAAAAGTTTAATGAGGAAATTTATCTCTCCTTTGGAAACTAAATAAAAACTTATTACACAGATCTGTTTTTATTAAACAATCGAAACAGATTTTAGTCAAATCAGCTCTAAATCACATAATGAGTGAATATGCTCCTAAAAGTTTGATTTTGAAGACGCCCAAGGAGAAAATTTTTACACATTTGGTTTCCATTACATAATTATGCCTAAATTTGACGTCTGCTTTGGGATGGCGAAATGAAAGGCTCTCCTAGGGTCCATTTATGCAGGTATCACGACTAATGACCGAGTACAGTGAAATAGAAAAAAATCTGAGCAGAATCAGCAGCATGTTTCAGAACAGACTGCTGATTTACCGAAACATTTAGATTGCGACTGCAGGTTGTCTAGATGTAACTGGACAATGGCATTTAATTAAAACATGTTTTTATTTTACCCTCCTGTCAAAAATGTTACCAGCAGATTTTAGGGAAATGGTTTCAACCAAAATACACTGAAATATCATAAAAAATTTTAAATAACTGAAAGTAAAAATAGAGGTTAAATTAAGCAGATTAAGGAAATGACAATTTTATTTTTGCATATAGAGTTCTTCTTTGCACCCAATGAGGAAATGAGGGCTGATGACGTTCAAAGCCCATAAGTTATACATAAAAAACACAAAAGATCCTTTCCAAGCGTCTTTGTTGTGATTCAGAGGAAAATAGCATCAAGCTAAAGGGGCTTTTTCTGGGTTCAGCTCAAGTTCACAACAGAACTGTAAATGGAGGCCAACTTTAACAGAATTGATTATCTGCTGCCCTCTGGTGGAGATAAAAAAAATAAAGTCTAAGGAAAGAAGCAATACTAATGCTCTGTGATGGAGCTAAATTAAATCAGGATTACTTTACGGCAGGATAAGATATAGATCTAGGATGGGAGATGTGATCTACAGATTACCGAACATCAATTTTACTTTGCGGCTACACGAGTAACCGTGACGATCGAGCAGTTCAGCACAGATCAAATTGTCCTCTTGGACAGAACATTGAATTAATTTCACAACCAAGTCATTATAAATACTGCAGCACATCTACCTGTAAAAATGAAGTTTTTAAAAAGGAAAAAAAGCTATCGAAGAATAATATTTCTTTCATTTTATAGTAATTAATAAAGTTAATGCAATTGAAACTATATGTAGTTTCCAGTAATCACATCCTGTTCAGGGATTATTTATTCTGGAGAACTTTTTGACTATAGGAGAAACTCAAACTTAAATGAAAATGTTTTGAGTCCTTAATTTCTATTAAATAAATCTCTATTTCATTGTTTTGTCTTTAAGCCTGTTTAGAAACAGAAAGCGATAGAAATGTAATTGAGGAGATAAAGAAGACGTACTGTACTGTGAAAGACGACGCTGTGGCCGTTGCCGCCGCTTTCGATGTGGGTGGTGAGGTTGAGGCAGATGGCTCTGTGACGCAACGCATCCATGGTTTGGACATCAAAGAAATCATGGGGCCTTGCTGGAAAGGGAAACACATTCAGACGGAGACGAGTTCAGGAAAGGTCAAATGGCAAAATTTAAAGTCTGAAATTTGGGAGAAAAATTTGACCCCCAAAAAATGTAAACTATAAAGACATGCTTTAAAATAAAGAGGTTTGGAGACGATACAGCTCTCAATTAAAGGGTTAGGTGTTATTTTTAACATATTATGTGGTAAATAACCGTCTCAATTAAAAGCAATTCAAAGAGATGTAGGAAAAAAACCTTTACAACTTTTAAATAGTTTTTCATAATTAATACAAACTTTTTCTGTTTGAGCTTCATAATCAGAGATTCTGAATTTCATTTTGATTAATTTTCATTTCATTTTATAACTCTTAGGACCCCCCCCCCCCCCCACAGAACAACAATCTGTTTCTGTCAACACGTCAGCATGAACAGACAGCGCTTGGAACTGGTCAACTGTGTGATTTCCTGATCCCGCCACAAGTGGGCAGTAATGTTCTTTGACACTCAACAACATGCACATGTGTACAGAGACCACTGATCTCTATTCATTCACTAGATTGTTGATTGCCCAAAAAAATTGAAGCTCCCCACTCCCACAGAGAGGCGCCATAAAAATACCTACATGTGAAGCATTTGGCTGCAAAAACAAGCAGTTTGCCGGCCGTGGGAAGAAGTTTCAGTCAGTTGATGTACTAATCAAGAAAATCCACATATACGCCGATGTATATGGAACACAAAGGGCCGGATCTATCAAAGGTTTGCATGTATAAAAATGTGAGCTATTTCACTGCGCACGCTAAAAAATGTACAAACTGATCTATCAACAGCGTGCTAAAAGGATTTGGTCTTTAAAACGTGCTAAATAGCGCCTCTTATCCATTTAGTACTCTTTCTGCACTGAATATGCAATATGGGGCGTTTACACGCAAAAGTGCGTCTTGTGGGAGGAGAACATGTAAATATATTAATTTAGCACTCGCAAAGTGATTTATTAAACCTAAAGCAATTTTGCTAACGGTATCTGACTCTATATTTAACACGTTTCAAAAGAAGCTGCAAATGGTCTGTATGCGTAATTGCGCACACATGGCAGCAATTGTCGCAAGAAGGAGACATCGAAATGAAGCAAGGAGACGCAGAGAACGCAGTTTTTCACTCCGTGTGAATATTTTTGGAATGAACGAGGAAACGATGATCAAAACATATCGTTTATCCAGCATTGCCATTTTGGAGCTGTTGGGGGAACTCCGAAAGGATTTGGAGCCAGCCACTGGGAGGACCCACGCAATACCAGATATCACAAAACTCCTTGCAACATTGCACTTTTTTGCATCTGGGTCATTCCAGCGTACGGTTGCAGCGAGAGCTGGGATCTCCCAATCTCATTTTTCAGAAGTGCTGTCCGACGTTCTAAATGCCATGTCGCCCTGACGCCCTACCGGAGAATCCCGACCTCCCCCCTGCGCCTGTGGAGCAACATGCCAATGCTTCAGTAATCTCACCCACAGTCACTTCTTGTGAGCCATTTGGTATGTGCATTTTTCTACAGGGCAATACAAAACACCTGTTTTTTTTTTGGTTTTTTTACTGCAGTGAAGTAGAAATTCAGCCACATACCACCTTAGGGAATAAAGGTTGCCAAAGTTATATATATATATATATATATATATATATATATATATATATATATATATATATATATATATATATATATATATATATATATATATATATATATCAGTGATGGTGAGATGAAGCCTCATGAGGCTTTGAACCGTTTGGCCAAATTGCTTCAATGATCCCCACAGTTCATGAGGCTTCATGTGAACATGTCACCACCTACTGGTGGACAGCAGAACTACAGTTTGTAATAAAATCTGTGATTTCTTTTTGCAATTGTTTTTTCTTTTTTCCCCTTTAAAGTTCCCTTGAAATTGTTAATGGTTGGTGTGTATATTAACATTTTTATAAGTTTTTTTTTTTAAGTGTAAAATTTCTTAGAGCAATCATTTAAGGTGCACAGTTTTTTTTGCCATTTTAGTGAAATAAACTCAAGCAGACAGTGAAAGTGTTTGTGCAAATTGGGCAATGATGAACAAAATGAAAGGTATTACTCATTTTTATTCAAACATGATAGTTTTTCCATGTTTTTTTTTTATTTTAATCAGGTTGGAAGTTGTGTTCAACCAATCTTTTTACTAAACCGACCTAATTTTCCCAATCTATAGTTTTACTCGGGCAAAACAATGCAGTTTAGTCTCATCAGCCAGAATAATTAAGTTTAATCGCAACTTTCAAAAGAGAGAGACAGGTCTTGAACCATCAACCTCTAGGGTGAGAGTCTGTCCCTTACAGAGGATGCCACTCATGTAGATGGTCTGTGGTGGGAGAAAATACTTCTTAAAACTGACGTATTAACACTGGCTTTGTCTGGTGGTTTGCTCAGATTTTGATCATTACATTGTTTATTCAAACCAAATTAGCTTTAAGTAACTAGATTGGTTGGAAAAGCAACCAATCTATTCTTAGAATCTATCCAAACTTTATCCAGCTGAGAGCAGCTCTCCTCCAATCTCCCACATCTTGACTGAACACTGAGGCTGTTTAGATGCCCGTCAAAATTCTTGCGCTTCCCGAACCAGTTACCGAACCGGTCACGTGGTATCACGGTAGCGAGGCCTCGGACGTCATCAATGAATCACGCCTCGACATGCGCATCGGGGAAACGCCCCCTCCATTACTCGACACACGCCTCGAAGCCTCGGCTCATTTCATAACATCACTAATATATATATATATATATATATATATATATATATATATATATATATATATTTTTTTTTTTTTCTTTTTTTTTTTTTGGAGGGGGTGTCACTGTAAGATTAAAATTTCTTAATGCACTAGTTTGTACAAACTAATAACTACTTTGCCGCAAACCACAAAACGCGCAAAACCATCATTTAAATAGGGCGTCTCCAACAGTTTTGCACCTGCCACCAGTTACGCAATCACTCTTGTTAAATCACCCGCAAACCAAATTCCAGTTTGCAAGCACAAATTAATGCACGCAAAATTGGATCTTGATAAATCCGGCCCACTGTGTGTCTGATGATAGCATCACGTTGGGTTCGCGTTTATGATGTCAACAGTGCGAAGGAAATTGGAATGTAAGGAAGCCAGGGTGTAATCAGTGTGTTTTATTGTTTTGCTCTATTATGTCTCTGAATCCCTCTCACCAAAGCTGCTCCATGTTTAACGAATATAAACAGAGTTGTTTCGGCTCTGAATGTAATCAGAGTCATCTGCCGCGGTGTGTTGACGTCCCCACGTTGTGTTCAATAGTATCACGTAATTTAGCATACCGACACAGCTTTGGTGTTCCCAAAGGTGAAGAGATTTTAACGCCGGTCTCTTGCTGTGTCGTTTGACCCGAGTAGACATGCGTCAGTGAGCTGTTCCCACTGCCACTAAAAGCCGATTGTTCCCGAGTTTAAAAAGGTTTTTTGGCCAGTGGGAAACTGCAGCAGTACAGAAAAAATAATTACCGTAAATTCCGGACTATAAGCCGTTACTTTTTTCCTGCTGTTTGAACACTGTGGCCTATAATACAGTGCGGCTAATACGTTTTTTTCATGGTGCGTAAAACAGACCAATTAAATTGATGAGGTGATGACCAGTGGCGAGAAATCCTTCACCAAAACTGGCCGCATGCGAAGGGCATCTTTCACTGATGTCTACCAGTGGGTTCTCAATGCGTGGAGCCGTGTGAAAACATCCAGCATCACCGGCGGGTTTTGGAAGGGGTTTCAGACACAGAGGAAGAGCACTTTGAGGGTTTTAGTGCACAGGAGGAAGAAGAAACTGATTAATGACTTTTCCTGGTCGGCTGCAATGTTCTGTGCGTTTTTCAATTAAAAGTACCGGTATATGCAGCGTTATTTGGGTGTTACAAACACATACGTATATTTAAATGTGTTACAGGTAGTTTGAAAAAAAAAAAAAAAAGCATTCATAATGTGTACCTTATTTGTTTGTTTTATCATACAGATTAAATCAAACGTTAAAAAAATGCTCACGTGCAATATCTTTATTTGTAAATATCTCATACAACGCGGGAAACCTGTGGCTTAAAATCAGGTGCGGCTTATAAAAGAACTAAATTAATTTTCTTTCTAAAATTAGAGCGTGCGGCTTGTAATCAGGTGCGCTCTATAGTCCGGAATTTACGGTAACATGAATGACAACGCAGGTCAAACCCCAGTTATTCAGTGCCTCGGTTAAAAAAAAAAAAAAACTCTTAGATGTGTCTTTGCTTTGACACACCTAAATCAAGTAATTAGGTCATAAAAATGACTCCAAAGATGATAGTAAATATTGAGGAGGACCAGCGACACTTCAAGGTTCGTGGAGTTGAAATCCGCTCGCCAAACTCGTCAACACAACATTTCCGCTCAAATTCATTTTCTATCTTTGCTCTGCTCTCCTATTGGTTACCATCTGTAAACAGGCGGCATTAGGTTTGAAGTCCATGAACTTATTAGCTCAGGCCTTTAATGTACAGAAGACCTGCTCTGGTGCGAATGATTCACTCCAAGAGAACAGAGTAGGAAGCAAACTGTTGATGTGTAGAACATCTCTCTGTATACTTTGAAGCAGCATTAGCAGAAGGTAAAAATGTATTTTCAAGCAATGACTGGGAAAAACAAAGACAAAACTTTCACAACAAATTAAATTGGTTTACTTGTTGGATACGTACGCAGGGACCACCTCCGTTTGTTTTTGAGTTTCTTCCTTTTGTTGAGTCCTGCCTTAGATGGAGAGTCCTCCTTTAGCCTGGCCTGGCTGGACATTTTGGACGAGCTCTGATGGCTGAAATGACTGGGGACATGACGGGCCAACCCTCCCTGAGAAGCAAAGCTGGCGTTGCAGCCGCCAACTACACACTGAAACATATAAGAAGCAACAGAGGGGAAAAAACACTCAAAAATGATGAAGAAAATTCTGCTGATGATCAGTTTATATTATTGCAGAACTAAAATTGCAGAGTCCCAGAACTGATATGGGAGAAAAAAAAAGATAAAGCATGCACACGAAATACAGATTTGTTCCCACGAAATATTCATTTGCTCCCAAAAAATACTGCTTTGTTCCCAATAAGTGCTAATTTGTTCCCAGCGAGTTCGAAATTCGTCCCCAGCGAGTTCGAAATTTGTCCCCAGCGAGTTCTAATTTGTCCCCAGAGAGCACGAAATTCGTCCCCAGCGAGTTCTAATTCGTCCCCAGCGAGTTCTAATTCGTCCCCAGAGAGCACGAAATTTGTTCCCAGCGAGTTCTAATTTGTTCCCAGCGAGTTCTAATTTGTTCCCAGCGAGTTCTAATTTGTCCCCAGAGAGCACGAATTTGTTCCCAGCGAGTTCGAATTTGTCCCCAGCGAATTTGTCCCCAGCGAGTTCGAATTTGTTCCCAGCGAGTTCGAATTTGTTCCCAGCGAGTTCGAATTTGTTCCCAGCGAGTTCGAATTTGTTCCCAGCGAGTTCGAATTTGTTCCCAGCGAGTTCGAATTTGTTCCCTTTGTTCCCAGCGAGTACGAATTTGTTCCCAGCGAGTACGAATTTGTTCCCAGCGAGTACGAATTTGTTCCCAGCGAGTACGAATTTGTTCCCAGCGAGTTCTAATTTGTTCCCAGCGAGTTCTAATTTGTTCCCAGCGAGTTCTAATTTGTTCCCAGCGAGTTCTAATTTGTTCCCAAGCGAGTTCTAATTTGTTCCCAGCGAGTTCTAATTTTTTCCCAGTGAGTTCTAATTTGTTCCCAGCGAGTTTGAATTTGTTCCCAGCGAGTTTGAATTTGTTCCCAGCGAGTTTGAATTTGTTCCCAGCGAGTTTGAATTTGTTCCCAGCGAGTTTGAATTTGTTCCCAGCGAGTTTGAATTTGTCCCCAGCGAGTTCGAATTTGTTCCCAGCGAGTTCGAATTTGTTCCCAGCGAGTTCGAATTTGTTCCCAGCGAGTTCGAATTTGTTCCCAGCGAGTTCGAATTTGTTCCCTTTGTTCCCAGCGAGTACGAATTTGTTCCCAGCGAGTTCTAATTTGTTCCCAGCGAGTTCTAATTTGTTCCCAGCGAGTTCTAATTTGTTCCCAGCGAGTTCTAATTTGTTCCCAGCGAGTTCTAATTTGTTCCCAAGCGAGTTCTAATTTGTTCCCAGCGAGTTCTAATTTTTTCCCAGTGAGTTCTAATTTGTTCCCAGCGAGTTTGAATTTGTTCCCAGCGAGTTTGAATTTGTTCCCAGAGAGTTCGAATTTGTTCCACCAAAATACAATTTTGTTCCCTCTAAATACTAATTTCCTCCCACAAAATATTAATTTGTTCCCATTGTGTTCAAATGTGTTCCACCAAAATATGAATTTGTTCCCTCTAAATACTAATTTGTTCCCATAAAATACCAATTAAAAAAGGCTAAAAAGAAAATAGTAAAACAAATCTTCTGATCAAGTTTTATTTTAGGCTGGGTATGAGCTATAAAAACATTCAAAGAGACAAAGACATGAGAAGTTTGATGTTTCAAGGAATTTTCATTAATGATGCATTTTTATAGAACATTTTTAAGAGAGAAGAGGAATAATATTTTTAATTTTATTAAGTGGCAGGTCACTTCACTGACGGGACGTATAACTTGGAAGCCTGGGTAGACTTTATTATTGACCAACAAATTCATACTTCTTGGGAACAAATTTGTATTTTGTGGGAAAATTTTTTTTACTACTTTGGAACAAATTAGTATTTAGTGGGAAAAAACTAGCATTTTGTGGGAACAAATTCATTTTTTGTGGGAACAAATAAGTATTTTGTGGGAACACATTAACATTTCTTGGGAACAAACTAGTATTTTGTGGGAACACATTAACATTTCTTGGGAACAAACTAGTATTTTGTGGGAACACATTAACATTTCGTGGAAACAAACCAGTATTTAGTGGGAAAAATTTACAGTTTGTGCGAACAAACTAGCATTTTGAGGGAACAAGTTCATTTTTTGTGGGAACAAATAAGCATTTTGAGGGAACAAGTTAATTTTTTGTGGGAACAAATAAGTATTTTGTGGGAACACATTAACATTTCGCGGGAACAAACTAGTATTTTGTGGGAACACATTAACATTTCGTGGAAACAAACTAGTATTTAGTGGGAAAAAATTTACAGTTTGTGGGAACAAACTAGCATTTTGTGGGAACAAATAAGTATTTTGAGGGAACAAATTCATTTTTTGTGGGAACAAATACCGTATTTTCACGACCATAAGGCGCACCGTACTAAAAGGCGCAGTCTCAATTATGTGTCCCATTTCTGTATTTAACACACACATAAGGCGCACCGGACTATAGGGCGCATTTTTTATATACAGGTACATGTCCTCTACTACCTTTAAATAGCTCTACTGCGTATTTTAAAAATACAGCAGGCCCAAAACTGAGTATGACTGTGCTTTATTCATGTATTTATTACAAAGTATTAATCAAACCTGTGAGCTGGCCATGAGACAGACACATCGCAGATGACACAGCGCTGTGATTACTCCTAAATTAACTTAAAATCCTGAAACCTGCCGACGGAATATGTTCGCTTTTATTGCCGGTATCCTGGTGCCTGCACTGTAAATTATTTAGACGCCGCGGTGAGGCTGCTGTTGAAGGGATTTCTGCTGTCGGTGCACCGCTGGTATGTCGGGGTCTGAGCGCCTCCGACAGAAATAGATAATCTGGATGAACTGACTGCAATTAAGTTTTCAGGTGGCCTTTCTCACTTAAAAACATATTAAAACTACTTTATTCCCACTGATCACAGCAAATATAGCTGCAAGATTTAGATTATTTAGATGAAAAAACACCTGCCAGCCACCGCGGTGAAGAGGAGGAGACCCGCCCAGAGGCTGCTGTTGAATTAAGTTTTCAGGTAGAAAAATAGAGCGGGAGCAAAACTGAGTATGTTTGTGCTTTATTCATGTATTTATTACAAAGTATTAATCAAACCCATCAAAGTCATCATCCTCTGTTTCTGAATTAAACAGCTGCGCTAAATCAGACATGACAGTTTCCCATTCTTCGCTGTCAGAGTCACTTTCCGTGCAGCGCGGCTCCTCAGAAATAATGCCGGCTTTTGCGAAAGCTTGAACAACAGAGCCAGCAGACACGTTAGTCCAAGCATCTACAATCCATCCGCTAAAGGTGGCGTAACTTGCCCGGCGCTGCCTTCCACATATCCTGAAACTGTGGTCTCAGTCTGTCACCCATCGCTCCCACGCCGCTCGCAGCCTTACTTTGAACGGCCGCTTCACACCGATGTCGAGCGGTTGAAGTTTCTTTGTCAGACCCCCCGGGATAACGGCGAGCACAGCGTTCATTTGATTCACCTTTTTTTTTTTCACATCGGCTGTGAGATGGGCACGCAGCGATGGTGATGCGTGGAAAAAAGCACCTGGTCTCCTCACATACACCTGCCTTTCATCATCTCCTCACCCATCCAGCCCGTTTCATTTGCGTTAATATCATATGTCATCAGAGCGCTGTGTCTGTCTCGCTGTCAGCTCCCAGATCAGCTTCTCTGATTGGTTGATGCGGCGCATCCAGCAGGAAAACTTAAATTTTTCCATCTCGAGCAGCAGCAGCGCGTTGGCGGTGCGTCAGATGCTTAAACGCTCCCGACGTGCTGCACCTGCAGCTCAAAACGCGCTGCAGGACCTTTTGCTGCGCCTATACGAGCGTCAACCATTGACTTTGCATGTAAACTCGCTGCTTCTGCTGCACCTGCTGGGTCCGGTTCACACCGATGTCGAGCGGTTGAACAGCGAGCACAGCGTTAATTTGTTTCCCCATGTTTTTCACATCAGCTGTGAGATGGGCACGCATGGAGTTACATATTAACAGCGATGGTGATGAGTGGAAAAAAAAAACACCTGGTCTCCTTACATTCAGCCACTCTTTCATCATCTCCTCAATGAGGTGGTCTCAAAAGTCGCAGTTACAACACACATAAGGCGCACCGCACCATAGGGCGCACCGCACATTTTGAGGAAAAAAAAAGACGTTTAAGTGCGCCTTATAGTCGTGAAAATACGGTAAGTATTTTGTTGGAACACATTAACATTTCGTGGAAACAAACTAGCATTTTGTGGGAACAAATTAATTTTTTGTGGGAACAAATAAGTATTTTGTGGGAACACATTAACATTTCGTGGGAACAAACTAGTATTTTGTGGGAACAAATTCATTTTTTGTGGGAACAAATAAGTATTTTGTTGGAACACATTAACATTTCGTAGGAACAAGCTAGTATTTTGTGGGAACAAATTAACATTTCGTGGGAACAAACTAGTATTTTGTGGGAACAAATTAACATTTCGTGGAAACAAACTAGTATTTAGTGGGAAAAAATTTACAGTTTGTGGGAACAAACTAGCATTTTGTGGGAACAAATAAGTATTTTGTGGGAACAAATTAATTTTTTGTGGGAACAAATAAGTATTTTGTGGGAACACATTAACATTTCGTTGGAACAAACTAGTATTTTGTGGGAACAAATTAACATTTCGTGGGAACAAACTAGTATTTTGTGGGAACAAATTAACATTTCGTGGAAACAAACTAGTATTTAGTGGGAAAAAACTTACAGTTTGTGGGAACAAACTAGCATTTTGTGGGAACAAATAAGTATTTTGAGGGAACTAATTCATTTTTTGTGGGAACAAATAAGTATTTTGTTGGAACACATTAACATTTCGTGGGAACAAACTAGTATTTTGTGGGAACAAATTAACATTTTGTGGGAACAAACTAGTATTTTGTGGGAACAAATTAACATTTCGTGGGAACAAACTAGTATTTTGTGGGAACAAATTAACATTTCGTGGGAACAAACTAGTATTTTGTGGGAACAAATTCGTTTTTTGTGGGAACAAATAAGTATTTTGTTGGAACACATTAACATTTCGTGGGAACAAACTAGTATTTTGTGGGAACAAATTAACATTTCGTGGGAACAAACTAGTATTTTGTGGGAACAAATTAACATTTCGTGGAAACAAACTAGTATTTAGTGGGAAAAAATGTACAGTTTGTGGGAACAAACTAGCATTTTGTGGGAACAAATAAGTATTTTGAGGGAACAAATTCATTTTTTGTGGGAACAAATAAGTATTTTGTTTGAACACATTAACATTTCGTGGGAACAAACTAGTATTTTGTGGGAACAAATTAATATTTTGTCGGAACAAATTTGTATTTGTGGAAACAAATTTGTATTTTGTAGGAACAAATCAATATTTTGTGGGAACAAATTAATATTTCCTGCGCACGCTATATCTCTTTTTTTCCTCCCATGTCAGTTCTGGGGCTCCATAAGAAAGAACTAATTTATGAATTAGGTTTTTCTTGAGGCCAAAATGTAGATCGGAGCAGTGGTGAGCTGATTTCCTTCAGAGAAGGAAATGCTCTACCGCACAGCATCACAAGCGTATTGTTGTTTTTTTTGTACCTTGAAGGGTTTATCTCCACTGTGGGTCAGCATGTGTCTCTGCAGCCAGCTCTGACTAGTGGACGGCGTGTTATACACCTTGCAACCCTTCCAGAGACATACAAACACCTGAGGAACGAACAAACAGACAGGAGAAAGAATCAGACCAGCAGCCGTGACGCTCATTCCAGGACTAACCTTAGTTCTTTGTAGTCTTAATTTCTCCTGAAAACAGCAGCAGGTAGAAGATGTCCAGAAGGTTTGGGATATTCCTAATATTTTTTTCCAAGACAAAGAAAACCATAACATTTAACCATTGCAACCATCTCCTTTGGTAATGTCGCCTTGACACCTCCCCATAAATTGCTGCTGAATGTAATATAGTGAGAAAGAGCAACATACCAGAGACATACATAAGATGTATCTGACTCACATTGAGATGGATAAAAAGAGAATTTAATGCAGACCAGAGGTATGAGTATATATTAAACCATCATAAATCAACACAGGTAGATTTGGCTTTATTATTATCCTGGAGGATAATGCTGATGAAAAAATGGACATGCAGTTATTAATGCCTGCATAAAAGGTTGTGGGGAATCTGCATGCAGGATTCAATCATCCTACTCATCCACACCGTATCTAAACTTTCAGCAGACTTGTCTAAAACTTTAGTATTATTGAGTATTAACAAACAGTGGATGGTAAAAAAAGACCTATTTTATGCTCCCTTAACTCTAAATTTGTGGCTTTTTGATGCAATCAGCATATTTAAAGTAAATTGATATAAGGAAAAAAAGGAATACATTATCAACTTTGACCTCAGATAAAATATCCAAACAAGCATTGATTGGAAACTATCCCACTCAGTTTTATTTGAAGGTAATAATTATCTATAAAATAATGATAATAATAAATATTATCAATATCTCACTTCTCATAAGCAGACTACCCAAAAGAAAAGCAATAAAAAGATGAGAATAGCAAAAGACAAAAACAGATGTAAAGATAAAATAACATAAAATTTGGGAAAGTTCTCAGTGAATTGAAATAAATAACACTTTGGGCATTGTAGATATTTAAATTTTCATATCCTCCAATAATACATTTTTGCGGAACCAATCACTGTTGCCTCTCAGATGTAACCAGCTGTCTTTGGTTAAACTGTAACACTTGTTGGTTTATAAAATGAACAATAATCTCCATTTAGAAATAGAATTTGAAAAAATATTTTCAAATTGCACTATTCAATTATGTCTTGATAAATACAATTAACAATTCCTCTTTAAAAGTTCTATTTAAAATGTGCAATTAGAAAATGCTTTTTAACTGGTTTTCCAATTGTATGATTTAAAATAAATTAAAAATAGCCGTTTTTTTCTATTTTTAGTGAATCTTAAAGTTCTCAATAGGTAGGTTGCATTAAATTATTTAAGAAATCAGATGCAAACCACCTTTTTCAAATAAATAAAGTGAAATAAATAACACTTTGGGCATTGTAGATATTTACATTTCCATATCCTCCAATAATAAATTTGTGCTGTTGAGTCATTAGAATGTGAACTGAGTATTGATGAAGGCACAAATATGCAAAAAAATATAAAATAAAAATGACGTGCTGCCTGTTGAAACACACGAGCAAATCATTTTACACCTTGTCTGCATGTGTTGCTACACAGCTTCTTAAAAATGGGCATCTACCCTATTCAGATTAGTGAGAATCTACAAAACTAAGGACTTTTTCCAACACAGAAATTCTGCTCATAAATCTTCAGCATTGTTCTGCTCTGTGTTTGGACAATAAAACCTAAAGAGAACCAAGTAAGCAGACCAACCCCTCCTCTCTGGCCGTCCACATGAATACCCCTGATATGCTCAGCCAGGTCAGGGCTGGAGTTGAAGCACTGTGGACAGCGGTCCCAGCAGCAGTTGTACGACATAGTCTTAGTCGCTGAAGACCTGGCGCTGCTCTGTCCGTTCAACAGTGCAGGAGTGGAACGCCCACTGGAACCTATGCTCTCCATTTCTGTGGTGGTGCTGCAGACACTGAATGGAAGAAGTAAAGAAACGCTTCATTATTAACCGTCATAAAACATATGGATCAGGCTTTGCTAAGACATGAGGAACAGGTGCAGATTGTTTCAATGTAAAAAAAAAGATCAAATAAAAATATATAGCAGCCTTATTCTGATTTTTATGTTTGATAGGATAGGACAGTTACTCTTCTTCCAGACATGATAACATAAAGAGATGTTGTGATGAGTAGTTTATACAAACTCTAATCAACTTTAGTGGAAATAAGGAAAAAAAAATCTTTTTTAGAAGGGTTCCTTTTGGCAGGGGTGGATTTAGGAAATTTGGGGCCCTAGGCAAAGACAGGCTGGGGGCCCTCTGAATTGAGAAGCCAACACATAATACAGATATAGAATTTTTTAATAGAATATACATAGATTATTTGTTCTATCTTTTGTCCCTCTCATATTCATTTTCTTGCTGTTTTCCTCTGTTTTCTTTTGTCTCTTTTTCTTTTCATATTGGCAATGTGCTAAGCTGACTTAATTACGGAAGAGGATTAGGGCCACTGAAAAAAAAAAAAAAGTAAACTGATTTTTAAATTTTATTTCAGTTTAACATGGGAAAAAAGTCAGAATTCTGACTTTTTTCTCAGAATTCTGACTTTTTTCTCAGAATTCTGACTTTTTTCCCATACTATACTGAAATAAAATTAAAAAAAAAAACAGTTAACTTTTTTTTTTCCCAGTGGCCCTAATCCTCTTCCGTATTTAATGCCGTCTCAAAAGGAATCAAATATTTTCCAATCACTAAGCCCATTCAAACTTAGCTGATTGCTCCTTCCTGTGTTTCTAAAAAGGCGACAGCAAAAGTAGATAACAATCTTTCTTTTCACTGTAGACAAGCCATGATCTGCTTATCTGTTCTCCATTTTTCATTTAAATAAAATAATAGCTGCATGAATTATGACAGCAGACAAGATAGAGGAGAGCAGGAGGCGGGGTTACCAATCTACTTGCTCTGGAGAGCAGAGTTCGCTGCTTTTAGATGTTGTCTACAAAGTCTCCAGCAGCAGAAAAAAGTGGCTAGATTTGGCGCTAGGCACTTTTCTTTTTTTTATCAAAGTGCCAGAGGGGTCTGAAAAGTCGCTAAATATAGCGACTAAAGCGCTAAGTTGGCAACACTGCTCGTTGCATCATTTGTTTTCAGATGGTTTGCTGCTGTCTGTTTGCACCTTTCTGTGCATGTGCAGCAACATGTGCAGGACTGATCCAATATGGTGGACACTGAAGGGGGGCTGAGACACATTTAATATTCTAAGCGTTCTGACTGTATTTTTACTAAAGGATTTTTATCAAAAACATAATTAATAAGCACAAATAAGTAATAGTTGCATTAACAATACAAACAGGAATGAGTTTTATTGGGGCCCTAGGTAACTGTCTAATTTTGCCTAATGGTAGACCCCCCCCCTGCCTTTTGGTATCAACACATCACTTTCTTCAGGGGTGATTTTGGGTTTCTAAATTATCTCTAATTTCCTCATCTTGAGGAAATATCATTGAATTGTTGATATTATCTTTCAGTGTAAGATGTTACAGAAATAAAGAATTAATTTCAAGTATTTTAAAACATATATTTAATTAAATATATTATAAATGGGGTTTCAAACCCTTTAGAAAGTGATTGAATAGTTTTAAGAGAGTTTGTAAAGGAGAGAAAATGATGAACTTTAGGCCAACCTGTCCTCTGAGCTCGGTTCTCCGTCAGAGGAGGAGACCTCCATGCTGGAGCGCCTCTTGTCTCCCAGCTCACCGCCGCTGCTGCTCTTCTCTCCATCCTCGCTAGCAGAGGTGCTTTTATCGCAGCTTATTCCTGAGGAGCGGCTATCATCGTCTAGCTCCTCCTTCAGCTCCTTCATGGTGATTCTACCGTCCTCTCCATTGTTTCCTCCCAGACTTGGCAGGGACGGCGGTCTCTCCTCCGGCTCCTCGGGAACAGTCACTGCTTCCCGGGTTGCCGCTGAGTCCTCCTTCCCCGCCTCCGCAGCGTCTGTCGCCGCGGGTTTCTCCTCATCGGCCTCCACGTCCCCATCTTCCATTTTCGGCTCCACTATGCTGACTGCTTGCTGTTCTGTTTCCGGCTCCGTAGAGCCATTTTCTTTTTTCTCACATTCAAGCTCGTTTGTCTCACTCGGTGGGATGTCGCTCCCACCGCTGAGGGCGGTTGATTCCTCTAGACCCTCTACCGCCATTAGGAGCAAAGACGATGAAAGGAGATAGTTCGGCTATTAAAAATGTCTGGCACGGTCAAACGGAACAACAGCGGGACGAAGGCGGGGCCTGAGCGCAGCCTCGGTCTCTGATTGGCTGAGAGGGGCAGTGGGAGGAGAAACGCTCACGTGAAGCTCCGCATTAATGGACGTAACATCAGAATTTTATCAGAGACACAAGCAGCCTGATGTACGGAAGAGGATTAGGGCCAGTGGAAAAAAAAAAATTAACTGATTTTTAAATTGTATTTCAGTTTAGTATGGGGAAAAAAGTCAGAATTGTGACTTTTTTTCTCAGAATTCTGAGATTAAAGTCAGAATTCTGACTTAAATCTCAGAATTCTGACTTTAATCTCAGAATTCTGACAATAAAAAAGTCAGAATTCTGAGATTAAAGTCAGAATTCTGAGATTTAAGTCAGAATACTGAGATTAAAGTCAAAATTCTGAGAACAAAAGTAACAATTCTGACTTTAATCTGAGAATTCTCACTGAATTCTGAGAATAAAAAAGTCAGAATTCTCAGATTAAAGTCAAAATTCTGAGATTTAAGTCAAAATTCTGAGAAAAAAGTCAGAATTCTGACATTAAAGTCAGAATTCTGTATTCTCCCATACTAAACTGAAATAAAATTTAAAAATCAGTTAACTCTTTTTTTTTCCCAGTGGCCCTAATCCTCTTCTGTACTGGGGTGGCTGGTATGGAGGACCAAAACACTCACTGCAAATCAGGGGCGGATTTACCATTAGGCAGAGATGGCAAAAGTACTCACTTTCCGTACTTGAGTAAAAGTACAGATACTTGTGTTAAAAAAATACTCTGGTAAAAGTGGAAGTACTGATTAAACTTCTTTACTCAAGTAAAAGTAACAAAGTACAGGCTTGTAAATTTACTTAAAGTATAAAAGTAAAAGTAGAAACCACTTTTTTCATGCCGTTGCCTACATTTTAAATGGATGTCTGCCAATAGGACTAGATCTCCGTTGTGTTCATTTTCAATCATCTCGTCGTCCATGCTACTATGCTAACGCCAGCGCCACCAAGCTGCAATGATTTGCCGCCAATGAATACCGCCGAATCTGTCGATTCATCTTGTAGTGGTGCGTCAAATGCAACGTAGATTCCCATCCAATTAGATTGAATTTGGTATTGATGACGTGAAAAATAATAACAATAACTCCATTGAAATGATTCAAAACTAAAGTAACGAGCCATTTTTTTTTAAATGTAAGGAGTAGAAAGTACAGATATTTGTGTAAAAATGTAAGGAGTAGAAGTAAAAAGTCGCCATAAAAATAAGTAGTAAAGTAAAGTAAAAATATCAGAAAAATCTACTTGAGTACAGTAAAGAAGTATTTGTACTTCGTTACTTCCCATCTCTGCCATTAGGCAATACTAGGCAGCTGCCTAGGGCCCCAAGTTCCTGGGGCCCCATAAAACTCTGTTTACATGTATGGTTAATACATGTAAACATAATTAATTTGTGTACATTAATTATGTTTTTCATAAAAAAAAAAAATGCCATCAGAACACTTATAATGTTAAAGGGCAACACCGTTTTTTTTACATCAGGCCCTTGATTTTACGTTATTACATCATGTTCTACTCACCCATATGAGTTTTGTGTCATTTGGAGCTTTTCTGAAGATATTTCGTTAGGTCATATCCACGTAACGTCTTCCTATGAGCAACAACTTGAAGCACAAACTAAACTGTTCATATTTTATTCTTTATGGTACGCCAGCATTCATAACATGTAGGCGAATCACTGTCCCCCAGACATCCGCGGTTATATTTTTTATATTTATATCTTTTAAAAACAAAGCGGCGCGTGTATGACGTCATCCGCGCACGCCGGCTACCATTCATTCTTCCTGTCCTCTGAGCTGCAGCTAGTTTTCCTCACATGCTTGGAAGATTTCTAGTGCTGCTACCACAGATGATCTCGCTCTCCAAATGCAATTGAACGATTCAGATTAGCTAGAATGAATAGAAGGGGTAGAGCGTAGCCGCCTGTGGCCCGGGCTGCCTGTCACAACTCCAGTCCGGCGCGTGGATGACATCATACACTCGCCGCTTTGTTTTTAAAAGATATAAAAATAAAACATATAACCGCGGATGTCATGGGGACAGTGATTCGCCTACATGTTATGAATGCTGGCGTACCATAAAGAATAATTTATGAACAGTTTAGTTTGTGTATTCAACCCGTTGCCCATAGGAAGATGTTACTTGGATAAGTGTGTGGATAAGTGTTTAAGTGCGTCTCAGCAGAATGGATTTAGTCATTGGATAATATCTTTCATTCCTTGTGAGACGGCATTAAAAGTCAGCTGAGTACAAAACAGAGAGCAAAACAACAAAGTGACAAGAAGAGCGGGACAAAATGTAGAACAAATAATGTATATAATTCTATTAAAATGTCTGTATCTGTATAATGGGTCTGTTTTATGTGTTGTCTTCTCAATTCAGGGGGCCCCATTACTGTCTGTGCCTAGGGCCCCAAATTTTTTACATCCGCCCCTGCTTCCAATCTAACATTTAAATCGTATTATACAATTAGAAAGTTAGAAAATTAGAAGTTTTCTAATCATACATTAAAGAGGAATTATAAATTGTACAAATTAATCCATCATTAGATACTGCAATTTGAAAATGTATTTTAAAATCATATTTCTAAATTTTGATTTAAAAACAATCCAAAAATCTTATTTTAGATATCTTTCCTAGTAATCACACATTTGAAAATATAGTTCTTTATTGCATTTCATTTTAATTTTTCACCTCAAATATATTTTACATTTTATCTACATTTTCTTTTTACTTGACGCTCTCCGTTGGCCTTTTCTGTGACCCTTCAGGCCCCCAAAGCGCAGTGAAAACCAGCTGAACCAATAACTGTTGCCTCTCAGATGTAACAAGCTCACTTTAGTTAAACTGTAACACTTGTCGGTTTATGAAATGAACAATAATCTCCATTTAGAAATAGGATTTGAAAAAATATTTTCAAATTGCACTATTCAATAATGTATTGATAAATACAATTAACATTTCCTCTTTAAAAGTTCTATTGAAAATGTGCAATTAGAAAATCATTTTTAATTGGTTTTCCAATGGTATGATTTAAAATAAATTAGAAATAGGCTGTTTTTTTTTTCTATTTTAAGTGAATCTCAATGTTCTCAATAGGTCGGTTGCATTAAATTATTTAATAAATCAGGTGCAAACCATCTTTTTTTGTATATCATCCTGGTTCGTATAGACCCCTTACAAGATATTCAACTTTTTTTTTGCAATATTTTGGAAATGAAGGAAGTGAATTCTACAAATCCGTTTAAATTAGGTTTTAAATGGCAAGTTCTGATAAAAATAAGGAGGAAATAAAGCAATGATTGAGAAGCTGGCTTATTCCAAATACAGCAAAATGGTAGCCGTTATTCCTTCTTCTTCCATGGGGTCAAAAGTAAGACACAATCCAGCATAGAAATGAACTCTGGATTGCTCTACTGAGTCCAGTCAGCATTTAGTCTCTCTGTTATTATTATTATGCAATAAAAACAGACGGATTATGTCAGAAAATTGGGTGAAAAGCCCAACAAAATGGGAGTTCCACAAATGTACCAAAAGAATGAAGCTCTCCAAAATACAAACCAATATATTTGAAGGTGTGTACATTTTCCTTCATTATTTCCTTGAGCTGCACTTTAACACAGCAGGATAGTGTTGTTCCTAATAGCTTCTTAGTGCCAGATATGTCAGGAAGTGTGATCGGTATCATAATCCAGTTAATCCAATGGGTAAAGACTCTTAAATCAAATGTGCTTCAGTGGTCGCCATTATAAGTGCTGTCCGATTAGTGCTGTTTGTAAGGAAAGAAGTTGGAAAAGGAGCCTGTATGCTTCCTATCAGAGCCTCTAACTGGTACAAAGTTGATTCTGGAAGCTTTTCTTTCTATTTGACATTTTTCCTATTTGTGTATTGATCATAAACTGACAACCAAAACACATTAAATCATTAATCACATCTATATACCTACATTAAAGTTGGGAAAAAAAATGTGTGCTTTTTTTTTTTTTAGAACTAGTTTGTGTATTGTGGAGTTTTATGAAATCAAAGACAAAGGGCTTTTTAAACAGTTTAATGTGTATTTATTCAATGCAATTCAGTTCATTTCTATAGCGCCAATTCACAACACATGTCATCTCAAGGCACTTTACAGTTCAACCAGATCATCCAGTCAGATTGATTCAAAGTTTTCTATATAAGGAAAACCAGTTGATTGCATCGACTCATTGAATCTAAGGCAATCCCTCACACTAAGCATGCTTGTAGCGACAGTAGAGAGGAAAAACTCTGTTTTAATAGGAAGAAACCTCCAGCAGAACCAGGTTCAGTGCGAGCGGCCATCTGCTGAGGCCCACTGGGGTTAAAAGAGACAGAAGCAGAGATACAAAAGGCAGCTGTAAAAGGAAACACACAGCCAGGCAGACCAGCTCCCATGTCAGAGGATAAAGAGAGCACATCCAGTTAGTCAAAGTCAGAGAAACAGGACTACACTGGAAAACAGGACGATCTCAAACATCTATAAACAAAGGTGTTGATGGCAGCACAGCTGATATTTCTCTCCAGGATGGAGTCATTTATTTATGCCGAACCATAAATTATTATTTAGCTCATGTTCATTTATTAGCAAGGGCCTTAATAAATTCTGTATTTGAGGATTTAACTTGAGCTCTTTAATTGTCCTGTTGGTACAATGTGGTTAGATATAATGGGTGCATACTGTTCTGATATTAGTTGTTAGCGACCCCTCACTTGCCTGGCCCCCCCATGAAAACTTCCTGGCTCCGACTCTGGAAATAGGTTCTAAAAAAGAAAAGAAACTCTGAAAAGAGTCATTTTTATAAAAATATGGTTCAAATTATTTAACTGTTCGATTATAACAACAGAGGGAGCCAAAGTGTTATGTATAACTTCACCTCATTCAGGTGGCAGGTTTCTAAAATTTAGATATACATGTGTATGATGAATTCAAATGCTTAATAGTGCAGATTTAATAGAAAACCACAAAAAACATAAATTTGGTTGATA